TCTACTCTTGTCCTGGAGGGTGGCTGTGAGTGGGCATTGATTCCACTGCAGTGAGTTTGGACTTTCGATGCTGAGCCCCAAAGCTGTCTTTGGAGGCTACTCTGGGGTCAAAGCACCAGCCTTCCTGTTAGTCATCAAGTGCTTACTGGTTTGTGCCCCAGGGCCATGTAGGACAGGTGTCCTTTATAAAAAGTGGAGCGGAGCTCCAGGCAGAGAGAAGATAGCTGAGCTGAGCTGCCACCGGGGGTTCCCATAAGCTGAGAGACAACCAGGGACCCTTCCCTGAGAGCCTCCGGGCAGGACAGCACCTTCTGAGACCCGGAGCTCAGGGCACTGACCTCCAGCATATAAGACCACCCATGACTAGTTTTAAGCCACCGGACTGTGATACTTCGCTAGGGCAGGCACCAAAGCCACCCCCCTACCCCTCAGGCTCCTAGATGTCTTTTGGGGCTGTGTTGGCAAGTGGGGCTGAGCTTGGGGAATCTCAGTAAGGGCCAGGATCCCCTCGCATCTGTTATCCCTCTCTCAGTGTTGGGAAAGGGTTTCAGTCCTCTGATCGGCCAACTGTGACTCCTTGTCACAGGTCACATTCCTGGATGCTCACTCTGCCCCAGGTGACACCTGCTCCCTGAGAACTCTATGTCTCAGGCTTGGGGAAGGAATGTGAGGGGGCTCTGGGCCAACTCCAACTCTCCCTGCCCCTCAGGCAAGGGATGGGAGCATCTATCTGTCCAGCCAGTCGGTTGACCTCCGGGGTTAAGTCAGGCTTTGCCATGACAGAGCCAAACGGCCCCCTGTGGGCTTGCTAGTCTGTCACCAGCAGATGGCCAGTGGTTAATTCTGATGGCCTTCATCTTAATGAAGTGTGGGATGGATGGGATCTTTCTGCGGGGCCTGCCCAGGCCCTGTCCACATGGCGGATCACGTGGGTAAGTGTGGGTTCTGTTTCAGAACACCCCATAAAGCGGCCCGCACGTGTTTTGTGGCTGTGTTTCCCCACCGCGCAGGTGGTTTACGTGTGTTGCACAGTCCGTACGGTGTGCCACGGCACGACGAAACGTTTGGA